AGTTTTTTTTGGTTGGGGAGAGCAAGGGCATAGGAGAAGCTAAACATGATTATATGCCACCTACTGTGACTGGAAGAAAAGATGCTAAGAGTGAGGAACCCAATTAATTGCAGCTGGCGGCAACTAAACAATAATATTAAAATAATATAAAATCAAGCTGCATATACCTGCTATAGATACTATGCGTGTTCTCCATGCAGATACTCCAGCATCCAAAATTGATTTATGAATTGGAGAAGTGAAACAAACCCCAGGAACAACAAGCTGAAGAGATACAGAAGTAGTGGTTTGCGGTTTCCTGCATTAAATCATTCCTTATATCACATATCAATACAAGATTAATGAAGCAAGTAAAAGGAACAACAATCAAGAAATAGGTATAAAGTATACCAGCTAAAGTAATTCTCGTGAACATGAACTTAGATATACTACATTCATGCAACACAGAACATCAAGGTAATTCATAAAGTTGGAAATCAATATGATATTTCTTTTTTGAAATGATCACAATAATGAACTGATGATGCTGAGGATGTTTAGGACATCTACTAGCACAATAGTAAGAAAGAAAGGGAAAAGAAGGAAAATAGAAAATTGCTGTTAAACTGAAGACTGATTGTTTCTGGTATACAGTTGTACACGTACATTTTTGGCTTGTGGCTCCAAGAAAGACAAATCTTAACAAATTTCCCTTTAACTTCCTGAAGTATTCCTAGACGGCATGAGGTATACCTTAACCATGGTCAAAATGACTTTCTTTCCATAACAGAGGTCAAGACACGAAACTCTTCCTATCTGCAACACAAAACACTTAGCACAGAGCTAAGTTCAATAAGATTACAACATAGATCTTGAGAGCAAATCTCGCACTTCTCTGTTAAGAGAGAAATCTAGTTTTGAAACAAAACCTACTGCTCAAACTTCTGAAAGGAACATAGGGTTTCAAATAGGGCAAAAACTCAAACTTCTCCATGACATATAGACTCTTTATCTCGACAACGGACCTATAGGGACAAGATGTTTTTGCTATCTTCAAAATATTAAATGCCCTGGACTTGGAATTCCAAGAGCAATCGAGCCATGCGAATATACTCCTAAGATATGACTATGCCCAGTGATGTTCTGAATCTTGGCTCGGGCCTGCACTCAGCCTTGGACCAAGCTGAGTTACTTGTCGGGGTGAGGTCCCGCACAACACTGAAATAGACCCACAAATCCAAGAAGAAAGTTGTAAAAAAATGATTGAAAATAATTAAAATAATAAAGACTAAGATAAATTATAGAAAAACATCTGTAAAAGATGAAATAAATATATATAATATGGATTATTAAAAAAATTGATTTATACCTCGAAATATTTCAGAAAAATAAAAAATCAGAGAATATAATAAGAAAACTCCACGAATCAACATAAAAAACCTAAAAATCATATAAAAGCATATTTCCAAATCATATGTTAGTGGCTTTTGAATAAATTTGGTGATTTTTAAAGGGAGTTTAATAAGGGCGAGTTGAGCACATAAACTTTCATTGACTCGGCTGAGTCCAAATTGACTTGGCCGAGTCCCGAACACTAAAGCCCAGTGAAGCACTGTGAAATCTTCTTTGAGTTGCACGCTTAAGAGAAGGCTTAGTAAAAACATGCCCATGCACAGATTTTCCTTCAATAGCTACTTCGATTTCAATTAGAAATCAAAGAGCGCAAAATTGATGGAGAAATTGGGAAGAAATGCAGGATTACAATTAACAGTCATAAGTAACAGATCTCCATTAACCGCAGTCAAAAGGCCTACATGAAAGAGGGTAAAGAATTTTCAGTCTCAAATATATTCATAAAGAGGTTTCCTGTTAAACCAGTGAGATTCTATTGGCTATTGAAGCAATGGAGGCTACATGGCAAAAGGCGTGACACGTGGCAAGGCATTTAGGCAGTGGAGAGGGGGGAGAATATCTTAACCATAGCAAGAAAACTTAACAGTGATGTGAAGCTGCCTAACCACAGTCAAAAGCCAAGGTCTCTATAAAAGGCCTTTGAGGGCTCAACCGTGATGAGGGGTTGAGCTTCCTCACTAAACTATCATCAGAGGTTGGGTCAGTGGCCTAATTACAGTGCTAAGGTTTGGCCAGCAAAAATAAAAGACTTTCCCAAATCTAAATCCAAATCTCAGCCATGGCCATGGCCTGGCTGGATGCTGTACATGCATATGTGTGCGTGCATGTGAAGCATGCACAAGTTGAAAGTACCAAAGCCCCTCAGTCTCTCTCTCTCTACTAAGCCCCCATAGGGCTAAGGAACTCCCTCACTTATATAGCCATAGAGAGTCGTGTCTCAAGGTAATGCAGAACTAATTAACTTGCTTCTTAGCCATACTTGCATCAACTAAGAAAAATGCCTAAACAAAAGGAAAATTACCGTAGTTGTTTCCAAACAGCGTTTCAAAATTTTGATATACATGCATACAAAGTGCATAAAAAGACAAGAAAAAAAATCTAGAGGAATGATAGATGGTGAGGATGGACTTTAGCAGAGTGCATTTGGATATTTACTATTGCCTATTGAGCTGGATATTTCACATTTTAAAAATTAAAAGTTCGTCTCTAGGTTAACATATGATTGCCAAAACATGCCTCATTTGAGTTAAAAGAAGGGTTCCTAGGATGGTTGTAAAGTAAATCCCAAATTTTATTCAAGATGCTCCAAATTTTATTCAAGATGCTCTATCTCACTGAAATGAAAACAACCCTCAAACTGAACGAACATGATTTTCAGCATCTCCCATAGGCATTAAATGTAGCAAGAAGACAGAAGAAGGAATGCATTGTTTTTAGTGAACTACCTTATAAGGAATGAACCACATTGATTTGCGGCAATTACAGCATCTCTCTCATCTTCAAAACGACAGAGAAGACTTAAACCTGAAAGGTTCTTTACCTGCTATGATGGAATAACCATAAAAACAGCTAAATGCTTGCTAATACTAGAAATAAGTTCCATGGAGCACTCATGCAGAATTTAAGAACTATTCCGACTTAAGGTGTTAGAGAGACCCTAAATCCATGTATTAAACATCTAGATTGACACATAACTTAAGAGAAGAGGACCAGAAAGATATAAAGGAACATCAGCTGGACATAACCATATTTAACTAGAAGGAAAACGAGTTAGTACGGGGGGGGCATGCCTGAAGACATGCCACAGAACAATCTTTGGTACATCAAAAATTAAACTTATAACACTAATATTAGCCAAAATAAAATGGACAAGCTAAAGCCAAAAAAGAAATATAATTGTCATTGCCTATTGCCTAGGCACATTAGCATTTGTAGGAATTTCCAATTCTTAGGTTTTAACCCATAACTTACGGTTAGCTTGTAGAGACTCAGTTAAGCATCATATTTCAAGGTTGCTTTGAAACTTGATTGTGACACAACTTGTAATCCATTAGCATAGTTCATTGCTAGTGTCATGGAGAACAGGTTGCATTTCATACCCTCCAGTTCTCTGGGTATGGTCTTTCCAAAATCCTTGTCATAGAGTTTGAATAGAGAAATAGGAACGAGTATAAGCCATTGGAGGTTGGTTGTGGCCTTTATATCAGAAAGTCAATGACCAGTGTCATTCAAATTTGTCGTGCAACTAGTGACACCAATCCAATGGCTATGGGGTATTATTTAGAAAACAAATTTTTGGAAATTTTTTCATCCATCCAATTTTTATAAATATATCATTTTTCAGAGAACATGATGTAAATAAGAAGCTGAATAATTGCAAAACAACCAAGGAATAAAAGCCTTCATAGCCATAGTTGTTGGGATCGGCATTGGGGGATCATGAAATGTTAGAAGATCCATGTAATTGGGAGATCATCCGTACAATTCATATGTTAAGCTCTACATCCCCAAATGTTAGGGATCGACTTTTGGGATCTTAATCCAAACCTCTTGAGATCTTGATCCCGACCTTTTAGGGATCTTGCTCCAAACCTTAAAGAATATATTATCTAGGACTACATATACCCTTTAAAGTAGGGATTGCTTTATTTATAGCCTACAAGCAATGCAACTATAAATTAAGAAAATCATCCATTTGGATGTTATTTTGCGATCACAACCCCTAAAAGTGGGGATCGAAATCCTAAAATGTAAAAATCAAGATCCCTTTCCTGGAGCGCTAGAGCAAGATGTTGGAGAGGGATCACTACCTATATTAGGAGATCCCAGCAGCTATGTTCCTAAATGCATTCCATTCTTTAGAAATATTTGTTATGAAAAGGTAATTTAATAGGACTGATATTTTCCGAGAAATGAGGACTTATACATCCTGTTAGACATCACAGGATGTCATGCAGTGCATAATAATACTTTCTTGATCAACAACCATCAGTTACTAAGTGTGATAAGAAAAATGCACGGGCAAATCAATTTTTCTCTATCGACAGAATAAAATGGGGGGATAAGAACATGCCTTAAAACAGGCAGCCGAGTTGAGTGGATGTCTGACCGAAAAAGGACCAGCCAAATTTAGTTCTCCGGTTAAAAAGAGAAGTGCATCTAGTGAAAGCTCAGATAAACACATGTCCACCTGAAAATGACACCAAATTAAATTCAACATGTCCACCTGAAAATGACACCAAATTAAATTCAACCAATAACCAACTTGGCATACAATTTTCAATTTGTCAAACAATCACATGGAAAACGAAAACCACAATGTCTTGACAGAAGAAGCATTGTACCTTATTTATATTACAATGTAAATGAGAAGTCACTCTTTTTTTAACAAGTCCTAAGTCATTGTTTACAAGGCTGGTACGACAGAAAATACCAATTGCGACAGGGAGAACCATTTCCCTCCTACAGTTTGAAGAAGACATCATCAAATATCAAGATACTGCTGCAGGCCCATTCTATAGAATTGAACGCATAAAAACACCAAATACACATGAGCCTAAGATTTTCAAATGCTCAAATACTCACCAGGAGTTGTTCAGGGTATCAAAGCTCTCAATCAAGAAGCTCAGTGTACTTATGAGCCTCATTTTTGAAGGTGAAACTTGAACAATAAATTGAGCATTATCAATGAACCATCGAAGAAGAGGAATATTGTCATTTGTACCTGAGACTTCATAAAGTAGTGTCACAGAAATCTTATCAGTGGTAATATTTACATACGAAGGATGGTGAGGAAGCACTGATCTATTTGCTTCATCCCTTAGAAGTGACTTCGATACCCCATCTATTTCACCCGGTTTGCTTGTATAAGTATCGGAAGCCTCTGGTGCTGTGATAGCCTTTCTCAGTGATAAATTCAATAAAATCTTTGCTTTAAATGGATTTCCTGGCTTCTTCACAAATTGTGGAAGGCCGTCAATAAAAGCAACTGCACAATCATTCTTCTGGTTCACAAGGTAAAATGCTCCTTTCAGCAAGTTGTTGCAAACTTCCAATTCATCACTGCCCTCATAATATTTAGGCCGACAAGGAACAGTTTTCCAACAAGCCCAACTCTTATCATCAGCTGCAGAGACATCAACAAATCCTGAACCTGCCTGGAAGTTCACGCGTAATGGTTCACCAACATCATTCTTTGCACACAGTGAAACCAAGGAGAAGCATGCTGTGGGGGAACCCCATTTCCTTCGATGATAAGCCACCTGTTCAGAGACTGCTCAATTAGTTTCTACCACAAATCATTAAGATCATTTGATAAATGTCTAAAATGACAAACTATTAAAGAAAACAATATAGAACAGACAAAATCTATTAATCATAGCATCAAACACCAATATTAGAAGACAAATCACCCTATGCATCTTCCTTTGAAGCATGAGCAAGAGAAAAGTTATTATACACGTATCAAAGGGCAACGAGAAAATTCGAATAGACAACAGACTAGAGGAATAAGCAATGTTTGAAAACCCAGATCGGCCATCTAGAAACCGATTCGAATCGGCAGATCGACGATTCGGATCTGTGGATCGGCCGGATCCGACCTTAAACAGGTCCCAAAAAATTACAAAAATTTCTTTAAAATCTAGTTTTTTAGGTTTCTCAAGAAATAGGGGTATTGCATTATAGATTTTCATTATTTTATCGAAAATATTCAATACTAAGACCCTAAGTCCATCGTGGTCAGTCTCGAGCCAGACATGCTAATACCAAATTCAAAGAAAGGAGTGTGCTAGGTAGAAAGCTACGTAAAACATTTGCCACATCTATTTCATGAATCTCGAACCAATGTCAATTACTCATGCTAGGGCATTTTCCTTGTAATCAACGCGATGTCTGACTATGGATATGGCCCCTGCTAGAACGCATTGGCATAATAGGATTCATATAGCCGACCCCAGATAGTTGGGATCATGCTATGATGATGACGATGATGATTGATCATGATGATAAATATCAGTGTTTCAAAAAGCGCTAGGTGACACCTAGGCGGTTGGGGGGGTCCAAACCGCCCAACACCTAGGCGGGCGCCCAACACCTAGGCGGGCGCCCAGAACCTGAGCAGCCCAGTAGAATTTTTTTTTTTTGAGTTATCTCTCTTTAAAATAGGCTCTAATGGGTTTAGGTTTCAACCCGTGGAGGGGGCGTAGGCCCTTGGCGGCCGCCTAGGCGAGTTCAGACAGGCGCCTAAGTGGGCTCCCGGGTGCCCAGGGATATCCATTTTTTTGGACGCATAGTCTTGGGAGATGCGCCAAGACCCCCAGAACCGCCTGGGCGGCCACCAGGTGCTAGGCAGTCCACTTTTTGAAAAACTGATAAATATTGAGAACTTGATTCATGTTTGAGTGTTTGCCAACCATTATATTGATTTTATAGTCAAAATGAAGTTTAAAATGCAACTCATTGCAATAAAATGGACATCTATAACTCAAATCTTTTTTATTTTGTGTTTTTGTAATCCCCAATGCCACTTGCACTTGTGGAGATTGGGGGTCGTGCCTACTCATTTCTTATTTCCCTCTTTTTTGAAAATTAATCATTAAATTAATATCTATTTGTATTCGTATTTTTATTAATTTTTTTATTTCTCTAGACCTATCTGATTCCATTCATATCTAGAGTGTTGTATTATTTATATTCATATTTAATTTATTTCTCATTATTTGCTTGAAAATGTCAGCCGCTTCTATTCCTCATTGACTTAGCTTAGAGATTTTATTTCATAGATTTTGAGGTAAAATCACGTTAAAAAAAAAAAGGTTATGAGGATCTCTCTCTCAGCTCCACATTCTCCTCTAGTGAAGCCTCTCTCTCTCTCTC